GAGAGAGGAGTCAGAGAGAGAAAGAGGGAAAGAGATAGAGAGAGAGAAAAGGTTAGGGTTAGACAGGGAGAGAAGAGAAAGAGAGAGAGAGAGGAGAGAGAGGAAAGAGAGGGAGATAGGAAAAGAGAGACAGAGAGAGAGAGGGAAAGAGACAGGGAGAGAGGAGAGAGAGGGAGGGAGGGAAAGAAAGAGAGGAGACAGAGAGAGAGGGAAAGAGAGACAGAGAGAGAGGGAAAGTGATACAGGGAGAGAAAGGAAGGGAAAGAGAGAGAAAGAGGAGAGAAGAGAAAGACAGGGAGGGAGAGAGAGAAAGAAACGGGGGGTCGACAGAGAGAGCAAGAGAGCGACACAGCTTCGTCTACCTGGGGTGGGTGATAATAGGGAATCGTGGCCATCTTGCCATCCCACAGCTGGGTTTCTCAGCGGGGCAATTGGAAGGAGGGGCCCCTCCTGAACCTCACCTTCCACACACCGGCACCCGGACTGCAGCACCCAAGCGTACATGTCCACCCTCGACTGGGACATCAGCTGGTCTCCCATGAGGTAGGTGTTATGAGACGAGGCGATGAAATAGTGGCTCAGGGGGCGAGCCATGTCTTGGTTGATGTGGTAATGTTTGGGGTTGAAAATGTCCCCGGCGGGGCTGCGCATGTACGTGGTGAACCCTGTAAGGAGAAGGAAAAGCAGAAGGTCTTCATTCCAGGATGAACTTTGCGGGACGATGATGCTCTTTACCCCCATGGCTAAGAATTCCCAGAGAACTTGGCCTTGACAATCCCAGTGGCCAGGTAATAAAAAAACGGGCACCTTCTATCACATGTGGTGGACTTGTACCAGATTGTTGGGGGCCAAGAGGCTGACTCTGTAAACTACTTAGAGAGGGCTGTAAAAGCACTGTGAAGCGGTATATAAGTCTTAAGTACTATTGCTACCTTCCTCTCTTCCTTCCTCTCTTCCTTCCTTCCTTCCTTCCTTCCTCCCTCCCTTCCTTCACAATGGTTGGAATACATTATTTCAGGCTAACTCTGCCTACTGCCAGCAGTTCGATCCTGATCAACTGGCTCAAGGTTGACTCAGCCTTCCGTCCTTCCGAGGTGGGTCAAATGAGGAGCCTGATTGTTGGGTGCCAAGAGGATGACTCTGTAAACCACTTAAGAGAGGGCTGTAAAAGCACTGTGAAGCGGTATATAAGTCTTAAGTACTATTGCTACTTTCCTTCCTTCCTTCCTTCCTTCCTTCCTTCCTTCCTTCCTTCCTTCCTTCCTTCCTTCC